AGCCCCGGACCCCGTCGGAGCGGAGCGGAGGCCCCAGAAGGGCCCGCAGGAGTAGGTGCTCAGTGAAACGCGCGACCTGCCCGCACTTCCAGGCTCTGCCTCTGCTCCTTAAAGGGCCGTGGGGGGCGAGGGGGTCCCCGCCGCGCAGGAGGAGGGCAGAAGGCCACCCGGTGGCCTGGGCTCCGAGGGAGAAAGTGACCAAGCAGAGGGGGTCAGAGACTCCCCGGCTCCCGCTGAGAAACGCGAGGCTGATTCATGTCCAGGGTGTTGGGGTCGGATGGAGGTGGTGGGGGGTTTGAAGAACAGAAAGCCAAAAAAAAAAAAAAGCTGCTCCCTGGAAGGTCTAAGAAGCTTCCCCAGCAGGGGAGGCCGTGGGGGCCCCGGTCCCGCCTGAGGTCACAGTGACTGTGGATGGACTCGACTCACAGGAACACTGAGCATGTTCCCTGCTGAAGAGGCCGGGACACAGGGCCCCCGCTCCCCCTGGCGATGCCGAGACCATGCCCTTTCCCCAGGACAGGAGAGAAAGCCAACGCCAAGGCTCCGTAAGGGTTAAGTCTCCTCGAGTATGAAGGGCCCTCATACAAGCCCCTGCTCCGGTGTCCCCATGACAAGCCACAAAGCATGTGGACAGGTGGGGGGCAGGGGAGAAAGGCCAGGCTGGTTGGGGTGATGGGCAGGGGAGGTGAAGGCCCCTGAAACAGGGGGGACCCCACGGAGCAGCCGGACTGGACAGAGCTGCCAGGTCCCCTCCCATCCCAAAAGGAGCCTCAGCCAAGTGCCTACTTTGGGAGAGGCTTTCCTCTGAGCACAGTGATGACTCAGTTGCTTTGAGTCAAGCAAATGGGTTTTCCTGAAATATGAAAATCAATGAGAGGTGGAGGCAAGGGCCCGGCTGCGGGAGAGGGGGGCAGAGGAGGGTGCTGGGGACTGAGGTGGCCGGGGAGTGAGATTCAGTCTCACTGCAGGGGGACCCTGGTGGCTCACCATGAGCCCCAGCCCCACGCAGTCGTCTAGAAGGTGGCCTCCAGGCCCTGCTGACTTTCCTGAGGCTCCTGAACACTCAGTAGTTCCCCGGTTCCCCTCCTCTACCCACAGCTTAGCGCCAATCCCCAGTAGGGACAGGAGGTTACTAAGAGGTTTACCGCCAAGGAGACAAGTGGGTTTTCAAACATCAGCCCAGGAGCCTGTGGTCCCCAGAGCCTCTCAGACCCAGCTGCAGGTGAGCTCTGGGAGCCCCAGGAAGCTCAGTGAGTGACATTCTCAGGCCCAGCCTCATGTCCTTGGGGACTCTGCCTGTTTTCCTGCCTCTTGAGGTCCCCGGACCTGTGCTGACTTGTCTCGGCGGGTGGGGGCTCTGGCCGGACTCTGGGGGTTCGAGCCGTCGGAGCTGTTTCCGTGTGGCCCAGGAGGGACCAGGGACCCCGTCCACCTTCTGGCTCTTGCTCTGGCTCCGGGAGCAGCGCACGAGGCTCTTGGCAGGATGTGAAGACAGCACTTTGCTTTATTTCCTGAGCATTTAAAAAAGCCATTAAAGCTTTGGAGGCGGAGTCTGAGGGAGCTCTGGCCTCCGCACGGGGCACAGTGGAAATTCACCGGCGTCCACGCAGCCGGGCCGTGCGAGGCTGTGCGTCACCTCTGTTTACTCCTCTGTAAAAGGTTGTTGACACCCAGGGGACAACCACCACCACCCGGTGAGGCTCGGGGGGGGGACCTCAGTGAGATAACGAGGGAGCGAGAGGTTTGTACTGTGCTCCTGCCCCGGCCCCCTTCCCCCCCACCCAGGGAACATGCTTAAAAACCCACGATTGAGAGACGGACCTCTGACAGGCCACCAATAACCTTGTCCTTTCTAACTCGCCTCATTACCCAGCGAGGGGTTTTGTGGCAGTGGGATGGCGTGAGGGGTGGGCAAAGCACGGTCCCCACAGAGGCCACTCTGGCCCAAGACTGGCCCCGGGGTCCCCCATGAGAAGGGCCCTCCATGCTGATTGCTGAACTTACAGGGACCTGGGAGAAAGAGTCTTCGGGGACGGGCTGGCACAGTCATGAGTGTTTTATGGGGAGCCAGCGAGTCATTGCCTTATCGGGAAGACTGCTCCTCCCTCTCTCTCTGTTACCAGGAATGAGATGAGCTGAGAGCCCGCAGTGTTTTTCCAAAGATGGCTTTGGAAGAGAAATGTTTCTCGGAGGGGCCTGGTGGGTAGAGGTGGGGTTGGCGGGGCCGGACAGTCCCTTTTAAGAAGCCGGCTCTGAGGTGGCCACGCTGTACTGAGATTCGTTCCCACTGCCTTTCTGAGATTTTACCATTTATGAACCCCCTGAATCCTGGCAGCAGCCCTAGGAAATAGGTACCACTTTCATCTCCCGTTTATAAGTGAAGAAATGGAGGTCGAGTTGCCTGGGCCTCACAGCTCATACCTGCTGGAGCCAGGATTCGAACCCAGGCACTGACTCCTGAGGCCCTGCATTGGAGTGCCCTGCCTAAGCAGGGAGGGGGGGGTTCCCGCAGCAGCCCAGTGGGCAACGGGGAGGGGCTCTGTCACCCCCTGACCTTTCCACACACGCCGCCCAGCTCTGGGGTGTGCGGGTGACTGACGGGCCTGCTGTGTGGAGCAGCTTCTCCCCTTGGGTACCATGTGCCCGGCAGCAGCTGCACGGCAGGGCCCACACCTGTTGCCTAGATCAGTTGCTGTGACTCCTTCCTGGGAAGGCAGGCCAGGTGCCCAGGCTTGGCCCAGGTCCTCCTTGCCAAGGGCAGGTGGAAAGGTGTGGCATCTGCCGGTCAGTCACAGCAGCACCCGAGGGCTGCCTGGAGGGGGCCGGGGTCAGGAGTCTCAGCTACAGGCTGGGCCCATCTTCCAGCGGCACCCCTGTCCCTAAGGCTCCTGATGGTTCTCTGGCCACTCCACCACCACATGGCAGGGGTTTGGGGAGGGGGTGACAGAGAAGCAAGGAGAGCAGCGGGAGTCTTGAATGGGACCCCTCCAGCTGTCCTGGGAGGTGGGGATGCTGTGGGGCTGAGCAGCAGTGCGGCCCAGAGGAGGGGGCTGGGAGACGGTGGCTGCCGAGGGCCCAGATGAGGCTGAGCCTGGAAATGAGAGCAGAACTCGCCGTTGTGTGTCTGCCTGGGGAGAATTCCATTCCCCACCGAGCCTGCGTGGGGCGTGGACTGGCCGGCACCGTGGGAGCGCGGCTCACACAGGCTGTGAGGCAGGCCCATCCCCAGGGCGCCCCGACACTGAGCGAATCCAGAAATCCCAGGTCTCTGAGAACATTTCCACGAGGCAAATCCGAGACACACGTCCTCTGACATCCAGACCTGCACAGTGCATCCCATGTGCCAACGCACATAAAACCTCCAGGCGAAAACCAGATGGGGACTTGGCATCGCTGGTGTCTGGGATCACACCCACGCCCACACGTCTCTGCCTTCCCCCATCCCCCGCCTCGTGCAGGGCCAGGCGGCTGGAGCCTCAAGGCTCAGAGGGTGCCAAGGCCTGGGAGGGAGGAGCTCAGCTCCGCGTCGGGCCTGGCGGGGCCTGGAGACCGCGCGCCCCTGCGCCCCTGTGGCCGCGCTCCTGCCAGACGTGGCGCGCTGCTGACCCCTGCTGGCGCTTTGCTTTCTGCAGCCCCAGGGGAAGCCCCAGAAAGGGCAGGAGGGTTGGAAAAACCTTGCAATCCATTGGGAGGGGTGGGAAGAAACGCCCGCAGCTCAGAATCCCCTCATCTGGAGTCTGAAGCACCCTTGACGAGACCAAGAATAAATGAGAATAAGATCCAGACCGAATTTCTGGGCGGAGTGAGTCAGGCTGGAAGCCTGTCCTGAGCCTCTGTGGCTTGGAAACCTCCCAGCTGCCCACCGCCTGGAACCTATAGCTGGGAAACCCTGAGGACGCTGCAGCAGTGAGCTGAACCAGAGAGAAAAAAGAGAAAAAAAGAGAAGACCCCACTTTCTCTCCTTAATTTAGAGCAGGTCCCGACGTTCCCCGTAGACACATTTTAGTTGTGTCATCTCAGTGACAACCTGCCTTCCAACCCCAGGGCTGTCATGAAAGTAAGGAGGCCTCCCGATGACTCCAGCCAGCCATCCTCTGAGCGGTCACATGACAACAGGCCCTGGGCAAGAACTGTCAGCTGGCGTGAGTAAACCCGAGAACCACGCGAGAGCAAAAAAAAAGACTGTTGTGTCCAGCTGCTGAGTTTGGGGCAATTTCCAACAACCGATACCTGGAACACTGCCCACCAAATCCTGATCACCCTTCATGACCCCCTCCTTTGCACAGGTGCCACCTTCCTTGATAACTACTGTGGGGATCCCCCTCCTGGGGCTGCGGAGACGTGTCATTCACAACTTCACCAGCAGGCAGCAGCCCTGCTCCTGCTCCTTAGTAAACTAGGCGATGGATTTGTTCATAAAATATTAACTAAACACCTGCTCCCCATGAGCTGCCAAGGAGAGCAGGCTACGGTCCCTACCCTCCGAGACGTTCCCAGCACATAAGCTCTGTCTTGAGCTTGTCTTTGGACTGCAGACTCCAAAAACCACCAATCCTTTCTTCTCTCTTGGAGCCTAACTTCCCAGGACCCACCCGGCTGGAACAGAGGTGGCCAAGTTCTTACCTAGAGCCAGTATTTCCAACCTACTCCACTGCCCTCACCCTCTGCTGTCTGGCCCAGTGACCACAGAGGAGGTGGGAGCAGAAAAGACAGAGCATCCTGGTTGGAGCAGGAGGGAGCAGACCAGGAGCCAGGACAGCTGGGCGGACTGGAACCGCGTCTGGCAGGGAAACCTCTCCTGAGCCTCCAGCCGCCCTCCTGTGGCCACACACAGTTCTGCCCAGGCTTGAGGGGCTCAGGATATCGGAGGGTGCACAGCTCCCGAGTTCCCTTCCCCCTTCACTCCCTGTGGCCAGTGTCCCTGCCCACACGGTGAAGGCGGGAGCCCCCCTCCCCCCATGGAGGCCTGTTTTCAGAGGCCACAAGTAGCAGGGAGGCTGCAGGGGGAGCGGAAGTGGCTCGTGGCTCAGGCCCAGGGGAGGGGAGAGGAAGTGGTCATTTAAAAAGGTAACCAGCAGGTTTCACAGCCCTGGGGGACCTGGCCCTGAGCCTCCCCGAGGGAGTCCCCGAGTCACCCTTTAAGCTCCCCTGGACCCATCTTGGCCTTCACAGTGTACTTGATATCCGGAGCCCCCTGAAGTCCCCCCTGGTTCCTTTACAGATGGATTTCCCCTTTTCCTGCCTCCAAGAATTTTATCTTCCTGACGTGTACACCCAGACTTCCCGCCTCTGCATTGGCCTGGCTGTCAGGCTCACTCACTTCCCCTGCAAACCCCCAGAGGTCCCAGGACCCCCTCCTTGGGAACATGAGTACAGAGACTGAGAGTCCCGGTTAGAAACGCTGGGCCCGTTCCACAGCTCCCCTTCAACTTGCCTTGTCACAGCCTCCGAACTCATCTGATCCAGAAAGACCCAGGAAGATCCAGAGCTGGAAAGAGCCTCCGAGATGCCACACTCCCCGCGCTGGTGGGCGCCTGGCACTGCGCAGCTCTGACCGAGTTGTCTGTGAAGAGGTGGGGCTGCTGGCCCGGTGGGCCAGTCTAGGCTATTTAACCGAGGTCAGCAAGAGGAGCTTTGGGTGTGTGTGATGCCCCAAGTCTAATGGTCTAAGATTTCAGCATCAGGCCAGTACCTTGTGTACCTGGTCGATAACCCTGTACACCTTTGATCACCTCAACCCCAAAGTCCTCCCTGTCCCCGGAGTCTACTTTACATGCAAAAAGGCTGTGAAAGCCTGAGCCCAGAGGGTTGGCACTTATGCAGGGAGGGTGGTGTGACTGAAAGGCGGAAGGTTCTGGAAAATCAGCAGATAAGGCAGGGCCTGCTAGACTTCCTTTATCTCCAGCTCTGCCTGGACAGCTCCCAGGCCCCGTGCCCTGACATGGTCTTTGGGTGGACATGCCCAGTGACCCTATGTCCTGGTTTCCCCTGGGGCTTTCGTGGAATTATGGAGACAGGCACGCCGCATTTATTGCACTTTTCAGATACTATGTTTGATTTTCTGAAGGGTCAGATGATGGTTACATTTTTTTAGCAATAAAGTATATTTTTAAAATGTATATTTTTTTTATTGATTTCAGATAGAGGGAGAGAGAGATAGAAACATCAATGATGAGAGGGAATCATCTCTGGGCTGCCTCCTGCATGCCCCCACTGGGGATCAAGCCTGCAACCCAGGTATGTGCCCTGACCCCGAATCCAACCTTGACCTCCACGCTCAACCTCCGAAGCCCAGGGGGGCTGTGTTTAGGACAAGAGCTCAGCTCCTAAGTGAAGGGGCAGGATCAGCATTTAGACCTGTCTCTGCCTGGCGCCCAAATGTGTCCCTTACACCTGGCTACCAGGACACCAAAAAGTGAGACACCCCCCACCCCCACCCATTCCTTTGAGTCACGAGTTTATCAGGGGTCTCAGATCACATGCCCACCTCACCATCTGGCTGATAGGAAACCCCAGAGAGGTCTGAGCGCACAGTGGGGCCACAGGGCAGGCCTGAGACGCGTCTCCCCTCCGGCGGCACGGGTCTGGGGGGGCCCCCCGCGCCGCGGGCGGGCGCCCTGACGTCAGCCTGCAGTGGTGCTGTGTGCAGAGCCCACAGGTGGGCGGGGCCGGGACACGCCTTCCTGGAGCAGAACAAAACCGCGCGCGCGGGGGCTCACCCCGCAGCTGCTCCAGAGCGCTTCCAGCCGCGCC